GTAGTAGTAGGGCACTAAATACCATGTTTTACTGATTTTATTTCCTGACGTGTCTTGTATTGTATTTAAAAATAAATTTTAAAATTTATTTTAATAATTCCAAAAAAAATAATTATTTTTTAAAAAATAAAAAATAACAAAATAATTATTTAGAAATTAAAAAAAAAAATAGCCTAGCCGAAGACGAAGGGGTCCCCTTCATCTTCATGGCCGGCCCTTCGTCTCCGTGGCTGGCCTAAGATGAAGGGGTCCCCTTTCGTCTCCATGACCCGCCAAAGACGAAGGAGTCCATAGCTGGCTGGTCGGAGACAAAGTAGTGGGGACCGCCTCGTCTTTGGCCAGCCATGGAGACGGTACGGTCTCCTTCGTCTCCATGGCGGCCGGAGACGAAGGGACCCTTCGTCTCCATGATTGGCTGTCTGGAGACGAAGTGTCCCTATCGTCTCTGGCCAGCCATTGAGGCTTTTTTTTTTTTAATTTAAAATAATTATTTTATTTTAAATTATTAAAATAAAATTTAAAAAAATTATTTTTTCTTGAAACAAAAAAAAAAAAAATACTGTATCATTTTTAAATATAGTAACTGACACGTCAAGAAATAAAATTGGAAAAACATGACATCTAGAAAGAGGGTCAAATGCTTAGTAGGATAATAATAATAATAATAATAATAATAATAATAATAATAATAATAATAATAATAATAATAATAATAATAATAATAATAATAATAAAATATACACATGACAATCCAATCAGTGCAAACATGTTGTTAACCTGCTAAAAATTCTAATTGCCATTTTTTCTCAGTTCATGGATGAATTTGGAACTTATTCGAGTTCAATTGCTTATTTGTATCTTTTCCCTTATTTAAAAAATAAAATATCCGTAAAAAACCAAACTCATTTTGTGATACTTTACACATATCAAAATCCATGAAATAATCTTACACAATATTTTTTTAAAAAAAATAAAAGAGCTAATTCATTAATCATATGATGAGAAGTTTACAATAAGATCGATGGAATGATAAAACATTCTTACAATAAGACATTGAAACAAATTTCTAATGTTACACGAAACTTGAATCTCTGACTGCTTTTCAAAATTAAAGCTGAATTCGTTTGGAGAACCTGAAACTTCTTTGATACACAATTTTTTTTTTGTTATAATAGTTTTTATAGTTTAATTTTGTGCTTGTGTTTTCATGGTATGCTACAATATTATGCATTTATATACAGTAGTCTGCACTATTATTTAGATTAAAAAATAATTAATGTGCATGTGTTTCTTTATATCATAAAAGCACAACCTACAAGTCTACAAACTAAAAAATCAATAATATATTCAAAAGCAAAGGATATAACTTTATTTTGCTGTGTTAGACCTATATAGATTATAGAATATCCAAATTTACATTTACAAATACATCACTCTCTTTTGGCAAATTATGCTCTCGAATCGTGTGCACTTTGCAAGGTGGACACAATTCTGAATCGGTATCGTTTTGGTGGAATTTGGAAAACGACGTCGTGTCTATTAAAAAAGAAATTTGCTTTCTTTCACCGTTAACGGTGTTTGTCTTCAAGAATTGTATGTTCATAATTAATGAACTCTATGTTCATAATTATAAAATTCTATGTTCATAATTTTTTTTTTTTTGAGGAATACTATGTTCATAATTTTTGAACTCCATATTCACAATTATTGAACTCTATATTCACAATTACAGAACTCTATATTCATAATTATAAAACTCTATGTTCATAATTTTTGAACTCTAGAAGTCTATGTTCATAATTACTGAACTCTATGTTCATAATTATAGAATTCTATGTTCATAATTTTTTAACTCCATATTCACAATTATTGAACTATATATTCACTATTACAGAACTTTATGTTCATAATTATAGAATTATATGTTCATACTTATAGAACTCTATGTCCATAATTATTGAACTTTATATTCATAATTCTTGAACTCTATATTCACAACGTCTCGCTGAGTTGTTTTGACAATTTTTTATTTTTTTAAATTTTGATTGGTGGAAGGAAATGGTGCCACTAGCGGCATTGTTACTCCAAAATTGCTTAACGACGTCGTATTGGAACCATGTCCACCTTGCAAGATAGACACGGTTCCACGGCGTAACAATTGCTCTCTTTTGTCACACTCTTCACCTCTCAAATCCAAATTAGATGGTGAATCAATACATGATGCCCACGAGAAGTTTACCATATTAGGTATCATTTTCCTGTTATTTATGTACATGAGTGACATTAATGATTTGATTAATTTTAAGTAAAAAAAAAAGGAATAAAGGTTAAATTAGTCATCAAACGAAACGTGAAAATACAATTAAGCCAGTCAACTTTAAAAGATGTAATTAAACCATTCAACATTGTAAAATTATGCAATTTGTCCTATGTGACCTGGAGTAGCAAGTTACCAACAAGTAATTAAATAAAATAAAAAATAAATAAAAAGAAGATTAAAAAAAATCTCCAATGGGAGATTGACGGTCTTCCCCATCGGAGACCAACAAATAATTAGATTTAAAAATAAAAATAAAAATAACTGGGTCTCATAGACCAACTACAGGTCTCCATGGTTTTGGAGACGAAATAAGGGAAGAAGGCAGCCATGGCGGCTGCCTTCTTCCCTTCAGAGCTTTAAAAAAAATTGAAGTATGAAGGCAACCACTATGGCTTGGCTGCCTTCATCCCCTCCATCTCCAAATCCATGGAGACGAAGGTTTCATCTCCATAGATTTGGAGACGAAGACTTCTTCTCTATCCTTCAATTATTTTTAAAGGGTTGAAGGATGAAGGCAGCCGCCTTTCAATTCCTTGGTCTCCAGAGATATGTGGAGACGGTCTTGTCTCCATGGATCTTTAGAGATCCTTCATCTCCTAATCCATGGAGTTCCATGGATCGTCAGTCTTCCATCGGTAACCCCCCTCCCCTCCCTCCTCCCCCCCCCCCCCCTTTTTTTTTTTAATTTAAAAAAATTCTCTGTTTCCGATATGCATAATTGTATAAAAAATGTACATGATTATATAACAGAATATACATACACTCTGTCACATCAATTCCCCACACAACTTAACAAAATGACGTCATTTTGAAAGTCGTGGGACGCACATTGTTATGTACGCCGTGATGTACGGTATAACAATTGGTGGGCAACAGCATAGATGACATCGCCTCCATTTGGCAAAATTACACTTGCACTTTGGGTATGAACACATTTATGATTAGCCACAGCAGCAGAACATGACTCCATAGAATATTCAACCTGAATCATATATGGTAGACCAACTGGATGGATTATTTTTTAGGAAAAAGGGCCGGGCTTGGAGGGAGTATAATGTATATAACGTATAATAATACAGAAGGTAGATAGATAGGTAGTGGTGAATTAAAATAATCACCTGACACGGGTGTAATTTCATGAACCTTTGGAATCATCAGATTTTTTCCAAGAATCAACAACATGAAGTAAACAAATTTTGAGAGGCACAATAGAAGAATCCCAGTCAACATATTTTACAGTGTACTTTAGGTAGAGACTTCTTTTGGTACCATTATTATATCCTTCTTTTAACTTGCATCTCATCTTGTCAGAGCAACAAAACAAACCTCCAATATAAATAACTTTTGCACATCCATTGTGAGATTATATAGGTCACATCTGCACTCATTGATTCATATTATGTGGTCTTGCACTTCTTCTCCTTACTCTTTCTATTCCACTCTACAAAAACAGAAATACACCCAAGAATAAAATAATCAATTGAATCATAAAGCTCAAAACAAGTAGATGCAAAATCATATCCACAATTTATAATAGAAATTACATATTACCTTTGAATCAAATATAAGTACAAAATTTGGCCTCGACAATAAGTTCATCATCTCCATAGCTCAGTCGTTCTTCTTGAATCCGTTTAGCAGAATTAAGAAGGGAAGATCGACACTCGTTTAACATAATTAATCGCAAATAGGGAATATCAACAAAACTAGCTGGAAATTCCTCCAAATCCAAACACGATGTCAAATTTAGACATTCAAGAACGGGAAAATGAGCACTACTCCAATCCTTGAGACCTGACCAACCAATTTGCAAGTACTTTAACCTGCAAAATTCATTCTCCCTTGTGTTCCACTCTTGGCCACTGAAAGCACTCATCTTCAATATTAGAATCTCAAGGTTGGGCAATGTGCCAACAATAGCCATATCCTCCGGTGAAAGATAAGTATCATAAAGTGACAACTTCTTGAGGTTTTTGGGGAAAGCTGTTAGAAGCCGAAGGGAATCATTTTCAAGACTTCCATGATATGATTTAATTTTTAACTTCTCCAACTTATGCAAATTGGCAAGACCATTAAGTGAACCAGGCTGCAGGTTATAAACATGGTCGCAATCATTGTAAATCCCAAGTTCCTTTACGTTTGGAATTTTTTCTAAGTCTGGACATTGATGACGTAGCCTCAACCAAGATAGAGCTTGTAGATTTTCTTGGACAAATGTTGGAAGATTGAGCAAACAACCATTAAGATAAATATGCCTCAATCGTGGCATATCCGAAATATTTAATTTTGGCTTATGTTCCGGTACATAGTTAGTAAAAACAATCAAGGTTTGCAAACTTTGAAGCTTGAACCATTCCAAATTTGGAAAGAAATTATTAGTTGTTAAGGCTAAGTATCTCAAATTAACAAGATTCACAATTTCACTTGGTATGTGGTGCTCATGAATTAATCTTGAAGATATGTCCAACACCCTTAGCACCTCAAAACTGGGAAATGGGTTGGAGGAAATATTTTCCCATCCAAAATATAGAATGGAACGAAACTCCAGGGGTGCGCCAGTCTCATCATACCTTTTTCTAATTGCCAAACCCAAATGTATTAACTGATAGCTAATCCAACAACAAGCTTTTGGAACCAAGTTGCCTATTGACATGCTTCTCTTTATTCTCATGAGAATGCGTTTAAGTCTACCCATCTCAACACTATTCTCATTTACAACACACAAAAGCTTCTCCCTCTGAGCTTCTCTCAAGCAAAAGTTATGCAACACATCATGGACACTACAACACTTCATTTTACCGCCAAAACTCCGCTTATCAATTTGAACTAGACCTCTGTCTAGGAGATCTTGTAAGTAAGCCTCACCCACTTCTTCCATGGTGTCATTCAACTCTAGCTTTAAGAACCCCTCTGCAACCCATAGCCTAATTAATTGTTTCACACCAATTTCACTATCTTCTGGGAAAACACCAAAATATAAAAAACAAACTTTCAAATGCAGAGGTAAGTGGCTGTAACTTAATGAAAGTATTTTTGAACATTTTTCTTCCGGATCTGTGTTAAGCAACGAATTCAGATTTTCAGCAATATTCCTCCACTGGTTTAGTGATGGCTGGTCGAAGGAGGTGAAGAGTCCAGCAACCACGGTAATTGTTAGAGGTAATCCTTGACATTTTTCAACAATACCTCTACCAACTGTCTCAAATTCAAGGGGAATTTTTTTTTCCTCAAATACTTTCTTGTAAAATAAATTCCAACTTTCATTGAAATCTAAGAATCGCATGTAATGAGGATTGTTACCTGAACTAGCATAGTCAGCCACCTGTTTGAGCCGTGTAGTTATCAATACTCGACTCCCATTGGAACTTTCTGGGAAACACCTATGGAGGTCATCCCATGCCTTGGTACCCCATATATCATCTATCACAATTAGGTATCTTTGATCCATCAACCTTTGACGCAATTGATTTGGTAGATCAGAGATATCTCCTCCATTGGTGTCAAGAAGGCTAAGGAGAATTTCTCTAAGGTTATGTTCTTGAGATACAGTCGCCCATGCTCGAACTTGAAAATGAGAAATAATTGAGACATCTTCATAGACTCTTCTAACCAAAGTTGTCTTTCCGATCCCTCCCATCCCCACGATTGAGATGACTTCCAATTTGTTTGAATGTGAAATGAGCTTGTGCATTATAGTGTCAAACTCATCGTCACATCCTACCATCACATCGTTGGGCTCAGAAGAACGTTGGGAGGAACTACCAGCTTTGATATTCTCTATTTTGTTTCCACTTTTGGGCTCTGCAGAATGGTTGTTATTGCTCTTAATCTGAATAATCCTCCGTTCAATCGATTCAATCTTTCGCTTTACTTGTTTCAAGGTGTGATAAAGACTCTGAGGAGGCTTAAGTGGGTGCTCTACCCGGTTGCGGCACAAATAAAGTTTATATAATTGGGATTCGATCTTGGCTTCAGCATCTTGAGCCACACATCTGATCTCTGACTCCAAAACTCTCCTTGCCTTGTTCTTCTCCGAATCCTCTAAAAAGGCTTGCAAATGTAGAATCTTCTCACACAGAGATTTGATGGTTTCTGTATCGTCAAAAATCAAACAAGGATGGGGCTGCAGAAAATGGAAGTGTAACGTATTTAGTAGAGAAGTGATATGAGCGAAAGCAGCCATTGAAGATAAAGTTAAGTTAAGAAAAATGGGTTCAGAATGAAACTCAGAATCTCATAGAGATGAAGCAATTGAATGGTTCTGATTATCTTTCATCAATTGCATTCTTTAAGCCATCATGCAAGTCAACTCTGCCTACACCCTGGACTCGTTCGTGGTCGGTAAGTGTGAAGACTTGAAATATGATAAACTATGCTATATCTGAGCTGGCCTGGAATTCACCAATATATAATATGCTCAAATTTTCAAAGTACTGGAATGCGGGGATTATTCTTGTGGGTGACATTATTTAATTTGACAAATTTTTACTATATAATAAGTGGTATGGAGGTAGGAAATTGCATTGTTATTTTCCCTCATAAATTTTGTCTAATATTTTGCTCTCATATTTATATTTATTCTATGCACGATACGCAAAAAATATATGTCTAATATTTATATTTTTAAAAAATAACTAATAAATTCTTACTAATTAAAACTAGTATTTGCACCCGTGCGATGCACTCATAGAAAGAGTTATAACAGTAAGGGTATTTTTGGTGAATGCATGTGTATGGTAACAATAATTGAAAAAATAACGGAAGTTATAACAGTAACAGGGCGTTTGGTTGGAAGGGGGGAATTATGTGAGAAAGGAATTGTAATTCCATGGGAGTTGAATTACTGAGAATAAAGTGGGAATTTAAATTTCAGTGTTTGGTTGACAGGAATAGAATTACTGGGAATTTCAATTCCAATGTTTGGTATACATGGGAATTGAAAGGGAATGAGTAGTATAAAGTCAAAAATGTCCATTATTGTTGTTAGACATTAATTTTAGGTTTAAAAAGGAAGGGATAATTTTGACTCATCACTATCTTTTTTTCCCAGGAATTAAAATCGCAGGGGGGGACATGAGATTTTAATTCCATGAAAATGGGGGAATTGCAATTCCATGGAATTGCAATTCCATGGAATTGCAATTCCCTCCAACCAAACTACGGAATTTAATGGCCTTTGAAATTAGGTGGGAATTAAGTGGGAAGGGAATTTAAAATCCCTCCAACCAAACGCCCTGTAAGGATATTTTTGTCCAAAAAATTATATATTACAACTCTAAAAGCACAATGTACAAATTGATTAGCATTAAAAGTATGGACATAAATGAAGGCTATAAATTTGATTGAGACTTATTATGTTTTTAGATTAGATATTGGGTGTCATGAATTAATTAATCATACTTTTACTTTTCAATTAAATAATAAACAATTCAATCAAATAGTATCATGTGAAGATAGGATTAGAAGAAATAAGGAAGGAAAATTTTAGGTGGAATGTGTAGCATTACTAATAGAAATAAATATGGATTTTCAATTGCTTCTTCAAGTTGAAATTTATTCGACAAGTTTGAGAAAAAATGATTAATATATATATATATATATATATATATATATATATATATATATATATTCCTTGCCATTCATTTAATCATATATTTTTTGTCAAAACATTTCATTTCGAGCATATGACAATAAACTTACCTCGATTTCTCAATTTCATTCTTAGAATGGGGCTTTACCCTCTCCTTTTTTTTTTTTTTTTAATAGTGATTTGAGTTTCTTCTTTCTTGTTGATTTGATTTTCTTCTTTCTTGTTAAGAGTTGAATTGGATTTCAACTTTCCGTTTACTCTTCTACTAACTTTTATTTTATTTGGTACAAGTTTCTGATTATGTCTCTTCCTTTTCCTAAGTGTTTCGACTTTTTTCTTTTACATCTCTAGCGGAAACATACTAGCTCCATTTTCTTTTCCATCAACTTGTTCATTCAACTTTGTCTTTCTCTCGAAAAATGTAAATAGAAACAAAAAAGATATATAAAAGTTGTCAATTGCAAGAAATATAACCATGCAACTTAGTAGATGAATTTTCATGCATTATATTCTATCTAGTATAAAAAACACCTCTAGCAAATTGGTTCACAAGGATTTGATTATTGTCAACCCATATGAAATAAATAAGTTTAAACAAACTAAATGAGTACAAAGAGTAGGTTGAGAAAGTATGTTTGAACAGATACTACAATGTAATTAGGGGCGGAGCCAGGATTTGTTGGTGCGGGGGGCCGATGCTCGAGTTCACCGCGGTTGCCGTTCAATCGAACCGCAGTACAACCAAATCCTAGGACAGCCAATGCCCATGTTGCTCTATACTAAGTGTCATTACTAACACAAAAATAAATTTCTTTGAAGGGGGTCAAGGCCCCCCTGCTAGTAGAAGGTGGATCCGCCCCTGAATGTAATAGAGTCAGTAGTATTCAAAAAAAAAAAAAAAAACTAAATGAGTAGGAAAATGCATTCAAAAAATAATAATAATAACGAGTAGGAAAATACTAATTAACAAACTGATGATAAGAAATCGAAATCCAAATCCAAATCCAAATCCAAATCCAAATCCAAATCCTAATAAAATTCAATTTGGAAGGTATTTTTGTGAAAAAAAAAAAAAAATAGTGCTTATTAATCGCGCAGAGTAATTCAAAGAAGAGCATGGAATGCAATGGCCAACATTTTATAATCTCTCCGCTGATAGATTTCTTGAAGTCGAAGAAACAGTTTAAAAGAATCATTCGTCGAATGAAAAACTATATTGGCTTCGCCCGGGCTCGAACCGGAGACCTTCAGTGTGTTAGACTGACGTGATAACCAACTACACCACGAAACCTTTTGTTCTCTACGAAGCACTTAATTTTATTTATAGGTGTATTGTTTCACCTTGCGTTTTGGTTAGTATATATTTAATAAGAAGTTAATTCTATTCTTGGTCCTAGATTTATAAGTGTCTATTCATTTTTAGTTCTTTTTTTCAAAATATTTTTTTGGGTCTTAATATTATTGTGTCATGACTATTTTTTTGTTATATGTCAATAAAACCATTTAAATGAAGTTAAATATAATGACATTTTGGTTTATTTAGTTCTAAGTACTAAGTTTTTTTTTTTTTTTTTTTTTTTTTTTTTTTTTTTTGTCCAAGATTTTTGTTTTCATTCCACTTTTAGTCTTTTTTGTTTTTGTTTTTGTTTTTTTTTTTCAAAACACCCTCGTTGATCCTAGCATACTTGTGGCATGACCGTTTTTGTCCTCCAACAACAAATATGTTTAAATGACATTAAAAATGACGTTATTACCCACTCAAAAATTCTCCTTTTTTTCTTCTTAGTAATAAAACTATTGTCAATACATAAGTGTACTGTAAAATCTAAAAAACTGCAATTGAAAAAGCCACAGGTCTACATCAATTCATGGCAAACCTTAAGTCTATTTCATAAAAATTCATAACACTTGTGGTTCTATTACCAAGAAGAAAAAATAAAAGAGGATTGGAGTGGTTAGTAACGTCATTTGTAATGTCATTTAAACATATTTGTCGACTTAGGACAAAAAATTGTCATGCAACAATAATGTTACGAACAACATTGATGTTTTGAAAACAAAAAATAGACTAAAAGTGGAATTTAATTAAAGTGATGTATTGTTTGACTCAAAATATTAATATTGTTTAAATTCTTAAATGATTAAGATTTTTTAAGATAATGGATAAAATTAAAAGTGTAGATGCACTGATGATACACTTTTTTAAGATAACAACAAACATTATTTCAAAAAGTTACGAAACAAACAAGCATGTGCACATGAACTGGTGCACATTCACATGTACAAATCCAACATAAATCTGACTTAAAACATTTCAAACCAAACATTTCAAAAATTAGAAAACATATAAATGTACAAACATATAACATAAATATGACTTAAAACTTAAAAGGAGATACAAAGGACAATGAAAAAGTAGTAATATTACCCATCAAACATGTAAACCAGAGCATGAAACGGCCACCTCAAACAACTATAGCAATTCCACACGGTGCGTCATGGCATCACCTGGCAAAATCAATACAAATGTTGTTTTATTTATCTCTTCATAAACAAATATATATATATTTGCATACACAACTTCACCTAACCTTTTATTATTAAGATTAACAACTCTATCTATAACACATGTCTAAAGTCTACACAAATTAAATTTCCATATTAACGTCCTAGATATATAGCATGTTGAAGTTGTAAAATATTGTTACCTAGTTTTGAGCATGCATGATGGAATTGAGTTTCTTTAACGGTACGGTTCAGCAACAGCAAGGTAAAAAAAACCCATGACTCCAGTGTGGCTCTGGCTATTGCTATAATTAGACTCAATGGTTATCATTTCCCCCTCAGCAATCTTGACAGAACCGGGTCGAGGATAACAAGTTGACATTCCTACAATATATCCCGCTTCATTTCCAGGCTCCTTTCCTTTTCCATAAATCGGAAGGGATGAGCATATTGTCCGTCCATCCTAAAACAAATCAAAAAATAGGTGTTTAAACAATAGATTTCACGCTACACAAACACAAACTCAAACCTAGACAAGCAAAAATACCTGTCCATAAAGAGTTGAACCAATCCCTCCTGCGTGCCAGGGCCGTATTTTAAATTTTGGTGGCCCTGTTCTAGTAAATAAATGTGGCCCTACCAAAATCACAATTTTTAAAATTAATACATGTAAGTTTCGAACCTTTGACTTTAAAGTTAAAATACAACAAATACACATTTTTACCATCTCTTCATAGAACCTTTTAAATTTAATTGAAAACTTTTAATTTTTATTTATAAACTAGCTAGGTAAAAATTAAGCATTGGACCTCTAAACTTTGGGGCCCCTCTAAAGTTGGGGGCCCTGTGCGGTAGCCCAGCTTGCACAGCCTAAAATCCGGCCCTGCTGCGTGCTGGTGGGCAACAGCATAGATGACATCCCCTCCATTTGGCAAAATTACACTTGCACTTTGGGTATGAACACATTTATCTTTAGCCACAGCAGCAGAACATGACTCCATGGAATATTCAACCTGAATCATATATGTTAGACCAACGGGATGGATTATTTTTTAGGAAAAAGGGGACAGGGTTGGAGGAAGTATAATGTATATATATAACATAATAATACATAAGGTAGGTATGTAATGGTGAATTAATATAATCACCTGGCACGGGTGCAATTTGTTGAACCCTTTGGAATCATCAGATTTTTTCCAAGAATCAACAGCATCAAGTAAATAAATTTTGAGAGGCACAATGGAGGAATCCCAGTCAACATATTTCACAGTGTACTTTAAGTAGAGACTTCTTTTGGTACCATTATTAAATCCTTCTTTTAACTTGCATTTCATCTTGTCACCGCAACAAAACAAGCCTCCAATATAACCTCGTTCTTTAAATAACTTTTGCTCAAACATTGTGAGATTATAGAGGTCACACCTGCACTCAATGCATCCCATCCTATCTTCCGCACCCCGGGTATCGATTATATGCACGTTAAGTGTCCATCCCTCGTCATAACCTTCAGGGATATCGGTTGGGTTCCCAACTTCTATTCCATATGGATTTGGGATGTGACTGTCAGTTTTTCTCGTCTCTGCTCCGAGCCCAAAATGTTGTGTAAGAGTGGAACAAATTCCAGAGTTCCCCACAACAATATAATCTGATTGGTTAAGCCCCAAACTTGGCTTTTCAACACCTTGACGCAGATAGGACCTTACAACGGTCCAATGGTGGAGATATGCCTCGTGAAGAGGGACTGAGTTCCCGGCTTCATCAACCACTTCTGCATCAAATCCTTTGATAGCAATATGGCCTTTAGGGAAGTCGATTTTGTAATAGTATTCGATTGATACCATTCCAGGTTCTACTTCAACCTTTGGTGATAGGAAGGTAGCTGTTTTTACCCCATTCTTATTCCTTAAAGTCTTAGCTGCTTGTGAAGTTTGAGATGATGATGTTGCCAATATTAGTAAGATTGTTGCCAGTGAAAGCATCCACCAATCTGAATTGCGTGACCACATTTTCTTTTCCGATCCTTCAATGCATGTTACCAAGTTAAATTAGCAATAGTTAGCAAATGAAGGCTTGAGTTTGTCATTCCCAAAAAGACTTGGAGTGGTAACAACCAACCAAGCCCACAACATTAGTCATCTATTAGTACTTGGCAAATTATACCATGGACCATGATTTCATATTGCAATGTGGATCAAGATCGAATAAATGTTTATTTTTAATGTACTATTTTTTTTTTTTTTTTTTGTAGTATATCAAAAAATAAACATTCAGAACACAAATGAAAAATTTATAAAATAAACATTCGACGTACTAAAAACGAGAACTTTTAATATACTAATAATGAAACTTATATCAATAGCGCACCTTGTAATAAGGTGGACCATGATTGACAGTGGCAAATTATATCATGAACCATGGTCCACCTTACATTGTGAACTTGGTCCAAAACGATATTTAGATTATGTATCTGCAGTTATCATGTTATCTACCTTCAATTAACAAATTTTTTACATATAAATAAATTGAATGTACATAATATGTTAACTGTAGATACATAATCTATTAACTATAAGTACATAATGACCCTGTTTGGTAAATGACTGTTAACTGATTAGGTTAATTAGAGGGTATAACTAGTTGATAATATTAGCTGATTGTAGAAAGGTGTTTGATAAATTAGCTGTTAGCTGATAGTTGTTTAGTATAATTTCCTTTTCTCAAAAAGCTAATTGAAAAAGTTGCGCTTTGACCAGCTTTTTGAATTTCAGCATTTTGGAGTTACAAAAAGTTAATTAACCAAACACTTATATTAATTTTTTAACCAAATCAAAAAGTTAATAGTAGTCAAATAAGTCAAAATTAGCCAATAGGTTAACTATTTTATCAAACAGAGCCAATATGTTAACTAGAGAAATATAATAGTTTAATTGTAGTAGCTTTAATAGGTACATAATTTATCGCCACACTAGGCATGTACAAAATATGTTAACATATATACATAATATGAACATTTTTTTTTTTTTTGGAAACTACATAATATATGGTAGGTACTTAATTTATTGAGTAAAGGTATATAATATATTAAGTGTAGATACATAATTTAAATGTCATTTTGGACAAGATTCATAATACAAAGTAAATCACGATCCATGGTATAATAATTGAATCATGGTACAACCTGTATATGAGGCTATCCTTATCTCTTGAAGAATCAATTGTTAAACTATATATGGACTAAAGTCCATCTTGCAATGTGGATTTTGATTCAAAAATTATGTGTCTGCAGTCAATATATTTTTTTACATATAATTAACAGTTTATGTGCATATATATAAATAAATTGAAAGCACATAACATGTTAACTGCAGATACATAAGATATCAATTACAAACACATAATATGTTAACTCCGACACAAAATATGAACATAACTATAGACACTGGTCATGGTATAATTTGCCCTGCAAGAGTTATCTTTTTTTAAAAATGAGCAATACTTCCACATCATCAAATCTTCAACTCCTTTACTATTTTCACAACATCATTGTAACTCCAATCCACTTTCAAAAGTGGGTCTTAGCTTTATATCACATTAAAAGTTGTTATCTTTTCTTTTTTCAATATAATAATAATAATAATAATACAAAAACTGTCATTTAACAATTTTTATTCGTATTACAAGCTTGCAATACTCATGACTAAAAAAAAAAAAGTATTTTTCCACTACAGTTTTAAAGTGATAAACTTTCAGAGGGCGTTTGGTTCAGGTTATATAAGATAATCAAGGTTATATTTGCTTGGTAATATAAGATTCACATGTTTGGTTCAGATTATGTAACTTTCTCAGTGAGTGTCAATAACCTCCGCATTAAGTTTTTAGCTATTGGAATGAAATGTGAGATACTCTCGAGGGTACATTATTTTAGTATTAAAAGTACATTATTTTATATACTAGTATTTTTTATGCGGGATGCGCAAAAAATAGGTGCCCAATATTAATACATTATATTAAAATTTTAAATTTATTTAGATTTTAGATATTTAAATTATTCTAAATAATAATAATAATAATGTAAATCATTTTTATAAATTTGATATTTATATTTATGAACTAATTAACATATAACTCAAATATTTAATGTGTATATATTATTATTAATGAAGAAGATAAGAAAATATATGGTGGATGCATGTGCATGGTAACAATAGTGGAAAAGATAACAGAAGTTATAACGGTAGGGGTATGTTTGTCCAAAATATTTTAATGTACAACCTTTATAGCATAATGTACAAAAAAACCTTAACGGAAAAAACGAACATAAATCAGGGGTATAACTTTCATTCACACTTATTATGTTTTTAGATACTACGTATCAAATAATGTACCTTCAGTACGCAAATAATGTACCTTTAGTATATTAAAAATGTACCCTATATTCATGGTCCACTCAAATTGTGTGGACCATTGTCCATACAATAATTTGCCCCCTCCAATTTCTTAGGTAATCTCATATTCCATTGTTTTATTATTAATGTTGGGCTTTGGACGTTTTAATCAATTTATCGGCAAATTATCAAGCATGTCCCAATTCCAGCCTATTCCCAACATCCAATAGATCGAATTGTTTGGTACAAAGAAAATGATGGCCAATGTTCGGTAAGCACAACATATGAATTAGCTATGGGCTCAACGGAATCACCAGAAGCGGCAAAGTGGAATAATATTTGGAAACTCAAAGTGCCGAACCGCATATGTACATTTCTATGGCTCGTTAGACACAATAGGATTATGACGAACCAGAATCGAAGAAGACGTGGCTTCACAAATGATGAGAATTGCTGGTTCTGTTTAACGACAACAGAGGACACAGATCATATCCTAAGATTCTGCCCACTTGCAGAGGAAGTCTGGAAAGCCGTCCTACCACAATATCAGGATCAGCTACGCCACCTCCCTTTGGTCGATTGGTTAGATGAAGGGCTAAAGGCCAAAGGTTCTAGGAGAAAACCGGGCAATGATAACTCTACCTTTTCAATTACACTCTGGTGGCTATGGAAATGGCGCAATGAGGCCGTATTCAACAACTCGTTTACTCCTTTGAAGTCCAAAATCGCTTTGATCATATCCCAAGCCAACGAGATCAACCGCTCTTTTACAAGATCTAAAGGCACTCAACCTTCTAATGATCTGGCATGGAAGATGCTTTGTTGGACTAAACCCCCGGATGGTATCCTCAAGCTCAACATCGACGGAGCAGTTGCTATGGACTCTCATGCTGCAGGCTGTGGCGGGGTGTTTAGAGACTCATCAGGCTGTTGGAGAACAGGGTTCCTAGTGAAGCTAGGAACTTGCACACCCTTTGAAGCCGAAGCTTGGGCAATCCTTAAAGGAATTCAAATCGCCCACTCCATAGGCATCAGAAGGATTCACATAGAAAGCGATTCGGATGAAGCAGTGGACTTTCTCTGTGCGTCTAGAATTTCTACCACTGCCGCACACAACATTCTTATAGCATGTAGACAGGAGCTTCACCACTTCGACTTCTGGCAGATCAACCATATCTTTAGAGAACAAAATTGTGTTGCGGACACGCTAGCTAAGTTGGCCATCAACCATGATTATGGTCTTCTATCATTATATGACCCTCCAGATGAAATTAGAGGAAGCCTGGAAGATGACATGCTTGGCTTGCCCTCGTGGCGCAATGTGAATACGTTTGTATAAACTGTAAATCCCTCTTGGGTATCCCCCTTCCTATTATATAAAAAAAAAAAATTTATCGGCAAATTATGTTGTGCATCCGTATGCACCATGCATGGTGCATACGGATGCAAAAACGACGTCATTTTATTAAAAACGCGCGTCTCTCCTTAAAAAAAATCAGATTCGATTCCCAGCAACAATATATGAACTATAATTCCATAATCGATGAACTATAATTCCATAAGCGATGAACTAAAATTCCAGAATCTAATCTATGAACTAAAAATTCCAGAATGAATGAACTAAAATTTCAGAATCTATGAACTAAAATTTCAGAATCGATGAACTACAATTCCAAAATCGATGAACTATAATTCCAGAATCAATTAACTAAAATTCCATAATGAATGAACAACATAATGATGTTGCTGGGAATCGAACCTGAATTTTTTTTTAAGGGGAGACGCGCGTTTTTAATAAAACGACATCGTTTTTGCATCCGTATGCACCATGCAGGGTGCATACGGATGCACAACATAACTACTCCAATTTATCTTATTACCGTTGTCTTATTTACATATCTTAGTTTTAAACTAAACACATGAATTTAACATTCCCAGTAATCTAATATTCTCATCAATCTAATATTCTTTAGGGGGCATTTGGTTCAGGTTATATTACATAACCAAGGGAATGTGACATTCTCAAGCTTACATTCCTATGTTTGGTTCATATTCTCTGAGGGAATATAACATTCTCAGGGAATGCAACATTCCCTCCACATAAGATTTTGAAGGGAATGTGATTCCCTTCATTTTGTTAGGTAATGTAAGATAACCTTGGTAATTATAAATTTTGTCATTTTAATTCTAATTATTTAAAGATATATATTTTATGTTAGCTTATTATTATTATTATTATTATTATTATTATTATTATAAAAGATAACCCTAAACCAAACACGATTATATTACATACCTCAATTTTAACCAAACACGGGAATCTAACATTCCCAGTAATCTAACATTCCCAGCAATCTAACATTCCCTAAGGTAATCTAACATTCCCTAAGGTAATCTAACATTCCGTGAACCAAACGACCCTATTTCAGGGTTTTGATTAGCCTGAGATTTTTTTTTCAGGGTTTTGATTAGCCTGAGATTTTTTTTTGCCATTCAAACCTATACCTAGCCCACATTACCAGTATGAATATATATTCTTTTCAACCTAAAGGCATGGGAATAAGGGAAAATTGTAATTTATGTCATTTCATAATATGTCAATTCCGATTCTTGAATTGTTAGTGGTATAAATGTTG